CAGAGGGGTGTGGGGGTTTTTTTTCCTACAAAAGTAAGTCCTTTCTGACCGTAGGTTTTCCCAGAGTTGAACGGCTGCCGTATGGATTCATGATGCGCCCCCCCAGGACTGCACATCAGCAGAACAAAATGCCATGTGTCCCCTGTGGATTCTCCCGGCCCCAGGATTGTGTGGGGGTGGGTCTGGTCCCAGTGTCCCACCTGGGATGCAGGACCCCATGCTCACTGTCCCGCACACATGGGGCTGTCGGTGGTTTTCCCGACCCCTCCTGAGCAGAAGGCCGCTGTGTGTGAAGCCCCTGCAGGCGTGTGGCCCTCAGGATGGGGAGGGGCCCAGAGAGGTGCCCGTGGCATGCAGGGGGTGGGGGTGTGTGCACGCTCCCGGGGACCTCAGACCCAGTACTGCTAAGACGTTCTACAAACAGCTCACGTGAGAAACTTAGGGGCCTCACTGATCCCCATGTGGCCGACGGTGAAACCCATTCTGTCTTCGGGTGGGCCGGTGGCACCTGACGGTTTTCTGTCTGTGGACAACGCCTGGCATCTGAGCACATCCTCCCCTCTCCCCACCACCTCGAGTGCGACCTGCCTCACTTTCCCCTTCCGGAAGCAAGCAGGGAATGACGTCATCTTTGCTTTTTCCTGGTGTTTCCTGGGAGCGGCAGGTGGCAGGGAGGACCGAGGCATCACCCTGCGCTCATGGCTCGCTCTCCGCACCATGGGGCCAGGGCTGGCTGAGGGAGGCGTCTGCAGACACAGGGAGCGAGGCGCAGGCTGGCAGTCCAGGTGGCCGGAGTGCGCCCCGACGTGGCTGTGTCAGCAGCTCCGTGATGACAGCTAAGAGCCGACCTGAAGCTGGCTTCTCCCGAGTCGTGTGCAGGGGTTGGGTTGCTTTTTACCATCAGCCTTGGGTTCCTTAGACCTGGGACGTGACTGTCCGTGGTAAGGCAGAGGGCAGTTGCACGTGGCCGTGCGTGTGGGGCACTCGGTGCCGTGGGTGAGGAGCGGCACCCAGACGGAGGCTGGCCTGTGCCACGGGGAGCTCCATCCTCATGCAATTGGGAAGGGAGGACTGGAGCCATCCGGGAGCCACGACAAGCCCCTGAGGACGCGGCCTTGGAGGAGGGAGGGCTTGGACTGGCCGCCGAGGGCCTGGCTGGGACGTGGCGCCGGTCCCGGCTGCAGCCCCGGCAGGCAGGTGAGGCTGCAGACAGGTGCTCTTGCTATCTGCAGAGTCACGTCCTGCGAGCGTCCCATTGTCACAGGCTCAGACCTCAGCACTCGCGAGGTCACACGGTTCCTGCCTCACCTTTGAAGACCACATCTGAGGGCAGTGGACACAAATCTCCCAAGTACTTGCCTGACCTTCCCGGGCAGAGGTCTCTTTGTCTTTTCACGTTATTTGAATACGCGTTTCGTTTTCCTGTCGTCTTCGGTGAGGAAGCTAGTTTCTGCCTCCTCCTGTAAAATTTTATGTATTTGAGGTATTTTCTATCAGCTACTTTGCTGATAGAAAATGGCCGAGTCCATTTGCACTACATTTCATGTATTTTTTATTTTCTAAACCTTTTTAACTTCCCAAATGTTGTACAGATTTTAAGGCGCCGATACGAGCACAGGTTGATGTGTGAATGTCATTTTTTTTAAAGCTGGCCGTTTTGTCAGTGATTTTGACGGTTTCTCTCCAGCCTCTGGCTTCCGGTGCGAGCTCTTCGTGACTCGAGCCTCTGTTGCTTTTCCTTCCACGGGGCTCGGTGCACGTTCCCTCTGCAAACCGTGTTCCGTACGCTTTCTTCTGCCTCGGCCTTCTAGGGTGGCTTCAACGCTAGCAACTCTCCATAATATGGAAATCACCAATTTCTGTAGCCCAGTGTTTTTCAAATGTTGGGTTATGACCCATTATTAGATTGCGAAGCCAATTTCATGGGTGACGCCCACGTTAAAAAAAAAAAACAAATAATATATCTGCTCGGCACATTAGTGGGAGCACGTTTTGCGTTGCGAGAGTTGTACGAGCTGCGTGTGATTGCCGTGTGACGTTGAGGTGTAAAGTGTGTCATCGTCAAATGTGTGTGGCCCTGTGGGACTCTACCGTATTCCTCAGCTTTCATGAAAGAAACACCATTGGTAGTCTGTCTCCAGCACAACAGGTTGGTGCCTTGGGGAGATCAGTTGTCGCAAGGCAAGGCCAGCCCTCCAGGGTCCTGTCGTGGGCGTTCCACAGGAGGGGTGGGTGGGGTACGATGGAGTGGGCCCACACTGTCTCTGGATGTTGAAGGGGGATGTCATTTCTGTGACATCTCAGCAGGCGTCTCCCAGCGTGCCCCAGCTCACTACTCTGGTCTCAGCTCTGTGTTCCTTCCTCCAGGAAGCCCTCCCGGATCCCCTGCTCTCTTAGGTGCTTCCGTGGGACTGCGTTTCTCAGCATCAAGTGCCCAGCTCAGTTTGTAAGGACACACTGGTTAGTACTGTCGTTGGTAGTCATCTGTCCCCACCCCCTGCCCGCCTCCTAAAATGTGAGCTCCACCAGGCAGGCGTTGGCCTGCCGGCCTGGCTCATTGTCAGCACCTAGTCCGCACCGATGGCTTGGGTCTGAGTCGCCCACCATCCACTGGTGCTAGATATCTTGTGAAACCCTCTGCTGCAATTACGTCATATCCCTGAAGTGGGTGGGGGTCTACCAGCAGGTGGGGGTCTGTGTGCAGATGGGGAAGAGATGGAAGGTTCCAGAGTGCAGGAGAGGCCTTGTCCCAGGTCCTCTGCTCTGCTGCATACAGACCCACAGCGGACAGAGCGCTCGGACCTCTTGTCCCCGGTGGCCAGTGGAACGCAGGGCAGACGTCTGCAGAATCACGTGTCTGGGAGGTGGTCTCTGGCTGTGCAGGTGCCACCCTGGTTCCCTGTTCGGGCCGTAAAACAGGTTTGTCAGAAGCAGCTTGTGAAGTCTGTCTGGGAGCTCTGGTGTGGATTTTCGTGAAGGTTCAAAGCTGGGTTCGTGGTTGTCTGTGAGAGCATAAACTCAGCGTGCTGGGAACCGGGACCGCATGCTCCGCGGCACGGGAGGGTGATTTTTCTCCTCATTCTTGAAAATAAATGAGGGTGAAGCAGGAGGATGTGACAGCGGAGGATCAGCAAGTAGTTCTAGGGCTGTCTGCATCGAAAGCACGTTTCCAAGAAAGTGTCGTGAAAACCTCATGTTCTAGATCAAACAACACACCTGCACTAGGCCGGCTCCCGTAGCCACACAAGTCAGGCTGCGGTGCTGCTGCCGTCGCTGGGCCGGGGGTTTGAGGAGTGATTTCCCATCTAAGCAGCCGACCCTGTGACCCTGAGTGTCCCTCCCACGGCGGCAGCTGTAGTGAGACGGGAGTCTTGACCTCACAGGACAGTTGCAACGAGAAGCACGTGAGCTTTTAAGCAGAAAATTTGCTCGTGGAAACGAATCTGTTCCTCGTCTGATTATGTGCAAAGACACGTGCAGGGAGAGCACACGTGAGGTGCACACGCCATGACCACAGCCGTGCCATTGATCTTGACCCAGCAGCCCATGGTGGACACGCACGGGGAGCCCTGGCCCCCACGCCTGCCGCCCCCATGCACCCGTCGGTAGCTCTGCCTCCCCCAACCTGGGCTCTGACTGCTCTGCACGCTCCGTGGTCACATAGCCTCCTGCCGTCCTGACTGGGCAACCTTGTGCCCACCCCAGGGCCTTTGCACTGCAGAACCGTGCTCCTCCCTGGGTTTGGGGTCTGCTCAATGCCATCCTGCTAAGGGGCCTTACCAGACCACTGTCTAAAGCAGTGCCCCCCGTGCTCCCTGAGCAGCCCCAGGGTCTTTGTGGCCCGACAACCTCACAAAACTTTGTGGGCTTCATGTGGGCAGGGCTGTCGTGATTCTGTTTCTTTACTTTTTTTTTTGAGTTTGTTGTATGGACAGAACTGGAACATGCAGGCCATGAAGTCCTCATAGAAACCCTTTCCCATTTCACTTACTTAGTTTGTAGGAAATTTACTTCAAAGAATGGATAACTTGTCCGAGGTCGCATAGGTGACGAGTGGCAGACAGTGGTTGAAGCCGGGTTGACACCGGGCGGTGAGTTTTCTCTCTGCCCCGGGTCCGGCTCTCCTTCCACCTTTCCTGTGCTGTTGAAGCAGCCTGCCTTCCCCTCTTTCTCTGGCTCTGCACTGACTTCACCTGGGCTGACCGGGCTCACCTGCCCTGCAGTGCTCTTTCCCTAGATGCCCGTCGACTGCCAGCGCCGCCCTGCCCCAGTCAGGCCCCGTGCAGACTCCCAGTGCAGCGCCTGTTTTTACAGAAGCTGCACGTGGCTGCAGAAGGAGTGTCACAGACGGGCAGGCTGCCCGGCCTCACTCCTCCAGGGGGAGCATGATGACACCCGCGTGCGAGGCACGGCCAGGTCCCTCCGTGCACCGGGGCGCCTCTGAGAGCCACTCTGTTGCTCTCTCCCCGTGGCTCAGGCGTAGTAACAGCTGCAAGAAGGATCCCTGAGGAGGTCTCCCCTGGGGGTGTTTAGATTTTCTCTTCTTTGGGGGTGTTATTTTTTGTGTCGACATTTATTTTTGTGTTACCTGATGTTATCAGATGGGATACAAATGTTTAATTTATACATTATCTTTCTCCCCTTGCCTGAGATGCTTTTTGGCATCGCTGTAATCATACAAAAGTGGACAAGCAGAGGTCTCTCCTTTATAAGGAGACGTTGCTGGCCCCATCGTTCGTTATGGATGCTTTGATGTTACTGTGTGCGCTGGGCGGATCCCTGCGCTCCAGGCCTTTAACCCCCGTGCTGCAAGCTGCCTGCCTTCGGTTTTCCACTCTCAGGCTCATAGGCGTAGAGATGCGGGCTCGGGCTGTTGGCAGCTAATTTGTTGAATGAAACGACATAATGTGCAGAAGCCGTGGACGCTGTTTCTGGAGTCTCCACGGTGAGTGCTCGGTCTCATTTCCCGTGTCCCATACCCTGTCCTCTGCTCTTTTCAGGGAAAGTGCGGTGGCCAGACTTTAACCAGGAAGCTTACGTTGGAGGGACAATGGTCCGCTCCGGGCAGGACCCCTACGCCCGCAACAAGTTCAACCAAGTGGAGAGTGACAAGCTGCGGATGGACAGAGCCATCCCTGACACCCGGCACGACCAGTAAGTGTCTGACCGCGCCCGGCTGCTCTGGCTGCACACGACCAGGGTGTCCCTGCACTTGCGAGGCTGGAATTTGCCCGGGTCTCTGGGAAACTGAACGTGTGTTGTGTCTTCCCGTGTTGGAACGCTAGGAAGACTCCCGAGGCATGTGGCGTGCGACCTCACCCGTGGGGTCGGGCCGGTTTTCCGGTGCCCTGCGGCAGCGTGCAGGGGCTGCGGGTTGCTGGCCGGAGCCTGGAGTCAGAAGGAGGAAGCGTGCGACTGGCCTTCTGTTTACTGATCTCTTGTTGCTTTTAAAAGCCACTCGCAAAAGTGCAAAACTTTCCGTTGTTCGCAGCCTCAGGAGAAGAAAACCTACATTCCTGTTTATTGGGACCGCTTAAGTTGGAAACACTCGAGAGACTAGAAAGGAGGACTTAAGTGCCCAGCAGGGTAGACGTCAAATGGAGCAGAAACGCCCCATCAAATGGGGCAGGTGACGTCCCTCCATCACGTGCTATGGCAAAGTCTCCTGGCCACAACCTCCTTTTTATTCTTTAGGGTCTGGGAGTCAAGGGTGGAGGGTGTCCCCAGGCTCAGCTCAGGGGTCTCCAGACATTTTAAAGAACATTTTGTCACCTCTTATCAGGGAAGTGATACCACAGCCCTCCTTGTCACCTGGCACCTTTAAGGTTTGCTGGTAGGAACCTCGATTGGGGTGTTACTCCCACTGGAATTTTCAGTGGGTTAGTTTTGTGGTGGCTGTCTTCCTGGGTGCTTGGTAGGTCTTCCCGCTCCGAGTTATTTAGAGTCGTTCATCCGTCAGGTGACAGCAGGTGGGTCACACGTCTCCCCTGTCGCAGCCTCTGCGCAGATCCTGGACTCCAGCCAGAGCAGACTGGTGGGTTCCAGCCACAGGGGTGCTGCGCCCTGTGAAGCAAGGGCACACGGCTCCCGGCACCAGGCAGCCGATCTGCTTTGCGCCAACACTTTTGGGGCACCCAGGCAGGTGGCAGGGTCAGGACAGGCCCCAAGAGGGGTGAGTCTGGGGCTGGGGTGTCCGGGAAGAAGGGAAGTGGGGAGACGTGCCAGGCAGCGTGGGTTCCTGGAAGCGGCACGTTAACACACGCTGGTGCTGTGCTGTGTCATGACTTAATAGTGCACGTTGAAAGAGGGATCTTCTCTCCTGATTTCAGGGCTTTACTCGTGTGCAGGTGCTAGTCACCTGCCGGGGATCCCTTTCTCAACAGCTTTCTTTGGGTGCTAGTCAACTCTGTTCACCCGTAACAGCTGGGAGTTAAGAAATATGTAGCTTTAGGGCCAGCCCGTGGCTCACTCGGGAGAGTGCGGTGCTGATAACACCAAGGCCCCGGGTTCGGATCCCATATAGGGATGGCCGGTTTGCTCACTGGCTGAGCGTGGTGCTGACAACACCAAGCCAAGGGTTAAGATCCCCTTACCGGTCATCTTTTAAAAAAAAAAAAAAGTATGTAGCTTTACAGTTCTCTAGGACCAGGGAAAAGCGGGTGTGTGTGTGTGTGTGTGTGTGTGTGTGTTGGTATGTGATCACATGTAAACATACATAGCACACATAATGTAAGAATCTCGTCATTTTTCTAAATCCACTCCAGAAGATTGTCTTTGCTTAATGTTTCCTGTCACCATTAATTTCTTTTTCAAAGGCTGCTTTACTCTGTCCTGATCCTGTGCCTGTTGTTAACGTCGCTTGGCCAACTAATACTGTATCTAAATGAGGGGTTGCTCAC